TTCTAAATAGTTTGTTTTGTGCGCAGTGCAATTTCAGAGTAATGCAATATGTGTGAGTCGAGTGAAAAGAACTCATTTGGGAGTGTGAATAAAAATAGCTTTCGTGAGCATGTTTTTTTGATTCTGTGAAGTATTTGCCTTTGTTTTTTAAGAGCTGTTGTGTAAGTGAATGTGTGTGTAGTAGGTGATGTAATTTTCTTAGCTATAATTTATTTATACTTCTCTGCCTTATATGAAAATATTATATTCTGCAGCCTCTCTCTCTCTCTCTCTCTCTCTCTCTCTCTTTCAGCTGATTTCCTGTTCATTGGCTGCTTATAGTGTTAGCGTCACGCTCACGTGCGGCACACACACACAGTATTTACTCTCCTATAATTTATCTATACTTCTTATATTTATTTATACTATTTATTTATACTTATACTGCCTTATATGAAATATTTCATGCAAAAAGTAAAACAGTGGGAAAAAAATATATAACAAAGGTCTGAACCCTAGGACAAATCTTAATCATTTTAATTGGCATGCACCATTATTAAAATGCATAGTAATGAGCATTAATATTTTCAACAATTATCTACAAATATTTTATAAAAACATTTTAATATAGACTGTAAAAATTATTGTAAGTCTAACTATAAAGACTGTAAAATGCTACAGTAAAAACCTGTTAAGTTTTGTAAATATTTTAACATTTGTGTTGTATTTTACAGAATTATTCTGGCAACCACATCTGCTATTTTTTCTGTAAAAAATAACAGACGTTCATTTTACAGTATATTTTTATATATTTCATATACGTAAATGTATTGGGTATGAGTGATGGCACGACCAAATCATTGAATCGTTAAGTTTTAAATCGATTCGCTGAAACAGACAGTTTGAACTGTTTCAGTGGAGAGAATTTAACTAACTAACTCTTTTAAAAGATGCCTTTTAACTAGTCTGAACTAGCCTTATGACTAGTGACTGAACTAGTAGTATGTCTCCTTATTTTGCAATCAGAAGTAAGCTATTTTCAAGACTTCTGAAATCTGATTCCTTAGCCATAAATAACTAGAAGAATAACAAAGTGTAATAAACAGTAAAACTATTGGTGCTTCAAACCAGTGTGTTTACTTTTACAACAATACATTAAAATAATATAAGAAGTACCAGTTTGTAATATCAAGCCGCTAAATAGCTAGAAGTGCATGAAAGCTGAAGCCTCGCACATTCAGGTTACAAAGGTCTGCGCCGCTCTTACATTGTAAATCAGGTGTAAATGTGTGTTTTGCCGCGCTGACTCACTGTCCCACTGCTCTCCTCTCACGTGTCACACAGACATTAGCATGCATTCAGCATCCTGCAGCCTCTCTCTCTCTCTCTCTCTTTCAGCTGTTTTCCTGTTCATTGGCTGCTTATAGCGTTAGCGTCACTCTCACGTGCAACACACACACACACACACACACACACACACACACACACTCACACACACTCACACACACAAACACACACTCACACACTCACACACTCACACACACACTCACACACACACTCACACACTCACACACACACACACACACACACTCACACACACTCACACACACA